ACGGCTTAGGCGCGTGACGCGCACGCGTTTAGCGAGGGGGGGGGGGGGGGGCAGCGCTCGATCTGAGAATGAATACATGAGTATACGTCAAAATTACCCAGCAGTCTTTGAGACGGTGGCACATATCCGGTGCGTAGTTCGTATCCCTTAGTTACGTGTGCGGTAATCATAATCCTCATCAGAGCTAGCTAGAGAAAATTGTGTTTTGTTTAAATTCGTGCCGGGTTAATTACGACATGGATACGGAATGGGACGACTTCGATGACGGGATAGACTGGGACCAGTTTTGTTAAAAACAGACGTAGGCCTAGAACATTCTGAAAAATTGACATCCACCAGCAACATGACATGCATGAGCAGCGAAGTTCATTTTGAACTTGAACATGTTGAACTTGAACAATTTCAAGACACCGCTTCGGTCACCGTGACGACGGACGTTGGTGGAGATTCAAGTTCCACTTCCAGGACCTTCGAATGTCCTGAATGTAAACGACTTTACAGGTCCTCATCGGGGATAACCCGTCATTTACGGACACACGATCATTTGGTTCATGTGAATGGTACGCTCAAATGAAATATCAATCATTCATATAGCCTTAGCTTAGGGCTTAGGCCTAATCGGTAATCCCGATGACATAACACAACTGGTAAAGGTAAAGGTAGAAGTGACACAACTACCACAACTCAACAGCATCATTTCATATCTTATTAACTGTGTGCGGAGACAAAGAAGATAACCCTGGGCCTGTGAAGGATCCCTGTGGTAGCTGCAGTCGTCCAGTGAAAAGTAATAAGAGGTCTCTTCTCAGGGAAGACTGCAACAAATTTTGGCATCTGAAATGCATCCCATGCGCACTGAACATGCGCATGCAGCTACTGGGTTTTTTTTTTGTACTTGGACATTTTCCGGTGACACAAATTTTAGTCTGGCTCCATGCCAACATTATCGTTGTAACTTCGTATTCACAAGATAGGGAATAGACCATTTTACAATTTCGGACTTTATTTCCCTTTTAAAAAAAATCCTCCAGAGCCACAAATCTGAAAAAGAAAATGTACTACTCTGCAATAAAATGTTTCAGACATGTTAAAATAATGAAACTTGAAAGAAGAATATTCTTATTTTGGGGGGATGGGGGAACAAAAATTTAACATTTCACCAGCGGGGATCAAACCCGAATCTTCCCGCTCATGAGATCTGTTGCTTATCCATTAGGCCACAGGTGCTACACAAGTTGGTGGTAATTTAATATATCTTATAATTCAGCCCTCTCTTAGAAAGTACAGCGCCCTTATATACTTGTATACAAGTACAATAATTGTACTTACGGTAAACAAATGTAATTTATTCCCGTTTGTGTAATGGAGTGTTGCATAAGCCCCCAAGGTAATACTGCAAAAAATACATTGTACTTGTAGCGTTTCGAAGCTGTTTCCTGGAGTTAATTTCTTATACCTGTCTGTTTGCAATGCATGCGCCTGAACATTCTATGAGTAGACTGTTTTAAACATTTTCTTCTTATGACATTTTACAATTTGAAACCCTGACCCGATCTTCAGTTCCCATAATAACTCACCCACAACTTCCTGGAATCCTTGTGAGCATATGAGTTCGACCAGCGATTCCGTGTAGTCTTCAACAGATGTGGTACATCAGAAATGAAGAAGATGTGGCGGCCAAATGGTGGATACGGGTTGGGGGTTTTGAACACTGAATCTCCCATCTTCGGGCTATTAAGTTTGATTGGTAGAAGCGCCGTCCCCTGTCACTGCCAGCACATAGAAACCATAGCTCTCTAGGAGACGGACTGCCTTCCAAAACAAATGGTACAGCTGTTCTGCTGGTAAGGTTTTGCACGGAAAATGAGCAACTTCAAATTTGAAATTGGTACAAATGCCACGAACCATTAAGACCATCATGTGAGTAGCTAGCAGAGGTTCTGGCAGATTTGTGCTAGTTGGTTCAGTACATCGCTTCTCAAACTGCTGGAAGTCTTCGTTTACTTTGTCAACATTTACAAATCCCAGCATTTGACCAGTGTGCTTTTCAAATACAAGATCATCTTTGATTTTAACTTCATCCATGAGAAGCACAACCTGTTTCTGGAACTAATGCGGATCCCCAATTTTCGCTTCTTTAGCCATATGATTTAGGATGTCCACCTGGAACCCATCTCTAGCTTTTGACCATTGACTGTAGTCCTGAAGGGTGCTCATTGATGGCAAATGCAGAATACCAGACTCCTTAATGGCACTATATGCTGATGAACTTCTACTCCTTATGTACTGTGGCGTGATGGGGTGGGCCGACACCAGTCTAATCCCCTTATTTGGTAGTGTTTACTTGTAATTTTTTGGTAAGGAAGTCAGGTCGTGTCAGCGGACAATGTCTCGTGGTGTTGGCGGGAGTGGCCGCCAATCGGAGCGCGCTCGCTGTTGCTGGGCGGGGCGAGGCAGGCCGTGACCGCACTTGCGATCTGTGTTTCCCGTACCCGCGTATGCGTGATTGGTGTTACCGGGCAGAGGTGAAGGGTTGGCGGCCAATCACGGCGTGATTGGGCGTGGCCCCGCTACCCTTGCCGTGGTACTTGAGCGCATGGTCGGCCGGGCGTGAGTCAGTTGCGTAAGTTGTTCCTCAGTTCTGTGTATGGAGCGGGTTCAGTATAGTGTACGAGTGGAGTTCCAATTATCCGTGAAGAAGCTAGCGTTTTGCTTTGGCGAGGCCGTGTGATGTGTGGTGCAGTGTACCGGTGTTGACGCTGTTTCAGCCTGACTTCTCGTACCGTGGTTGAACGATTGTACGGAGCGCAGAGCCCCGTGGTGTGACCCAGTTAGCTTGGTAGGACCGAATTGCTTTATCGTGTAATTTAGTGCATTTTTGTGCGATTGTTGCAGTTGAGTGTTTGACTTACAGAGTAGGGTGACTAAGTACAGGCATAAGGATTTGTGTCGTGGGTTCACAGAGACGTGCGATAACATAGAGGGTCGACCCAGAGGTTGACATAGAGGCCTGGGAGGAATAGTCACAGGTAGTCAATAACTGTACTCGGTCAAGTTTATTGTCACACGGGTTTTGTCGTATACTGATCAGCTAAGGCGCTCAAACTTATATAATCATAACAATCCAACGATGATAACCTTATAAATCAAAGAGTTCCCAATTAAGTCAGAATTGTCCGTGATTAAATAAACCAATCTTTTCCTTTCCACAAAGAGAATTGTGTATTCCTGTGTCCAATATTTCTGCAGTTTCTTCGTCTGTTTGTTCTGTTCTGTACTACAGTAACAGGGCCTGGTAATCAGTATCCAACTGGGCGGTAGATTTCCACCAAAACGAGCTTGCATCCCTGGGCCTAGAGGCTGCTCGAAAACTTCCCTAGGTTCGAGGCAGAAAACATAGTTTGGGGTTAGAGGAACTTTCACCTCAGTCGGTGATTGCCTTCCCTGACCTCTGGTTTAAATTGACCTCGGGAGATTCCGCCACAGTACAAACACCAACGAATCAGAAGAGGATGCCATCTATTTTCTTTGGCGCTTTTTCTCTGATTAGCTTTCTTCTGTTCTTCCCACCAAAGACTCATGATGTCATTTTGAAATCTATCCTTATGTAAGGAGACTGTATTAGTAAGATCCTCTGCTAAACTATCGTCCACCTGAATGCTGTCTTCAATGAGTGAAGCCTCGACCCTTTGAAGCTCTTTCCTTGCTGCGTATTTCTCCTTGTTGCTTGACTTTCTGGAGTTGCTTGTTGGTCAGGTACCTAAGGTTTATGCTTTGTATTTGAGATGGTGATTTGGTAGTGTGAAGTCCTCGAAACACCTTCAATCGGAGGTACTGGCGGAGTTTTATGCATTGATGGCATCGTGACATTGTTGAAAGAACAGTGCATGCCGTCGATCTTACTGTGCTGTAGAACCTCTCACAATTTGCATTTCGTGACCCATAGTCTTGATCTACACATGTATTTGGTACATTGGATAAACATTTCAAGTATCTGTCTTTTACCACAGCATACATTCGCCACTGTCAAGAATTGAATGACAACTAGGATAGACAATAGTGACTGAATTGACAATGGAAAAATCTGTGATGGTCGAACATCAGCTGTATCAACTTGATGACCATTCACAATGACTTTGAAAGTTCCATCGAGGAACAGATGAATTTGTCTACTAATCACAGGAAAATGAGAACTCACAAAAATAAAATAAAAGCAATTGCCTATTATGTCTCACCATCCAACCTTCAGGGCCATTACTGTTCAACAATTTTTTGAATTTTTGCAAAAGCACTTCTGCAGGGGAACTCGGTAATCCAGGGCCATCACCAATGGGACTCAGTAATTCAAGGCCATTATCCGTGGGACTCAGTACTCCAGGGCCATCACCAGTGGGACTCAGTAATTCAAAGCTATCACCCGTGGGACTCAGTACTCCAGGGCCATCACCCCCGGGACTCGGTACTCCAGGGCCATTACCGGTGGGACACAGTGCTCCAGGGCCATCACCCGTGGGACTCGGTACTCCAGGGCCATCACCCGTGGGACCCAGTAATTCAAGGCCATCACCTGTGGGACTCGGTATTCCAGGGCCATCACCCATGGGACTCGGAAATCCAGGGCCATCACCAGTGGGATTCGGTTATCCAGGGCCATCACAGGTAGGAATCAGTAATTCAGGGCCATTACCCGTGGGACTCGGTAATCCAGGGCCATCAACGGTGGAACTCAGTAATCCAGGGCCATCACCCGTAAGACTCGGTAATCCAGGGCCATCACAGGGAAGACTTGGTAATCCAGGCCATCAACAGTGGAACTCAGTAATCCAGGGCCATCACCCGTAAGACTCGGTAATCCAGGGCCATCACAGGTAGAACTCAGTAATTCAGGGCCATATCACCCGTGGGACCCGGTAATCCAGGGCCATTACAGGTAGCTCGACTCAGTAATTTAGGGCCAACACCCCTGGGACTCGGTAATCCAGGGCCATCACAGGTAGGACTCAGTAATTCAGGGCCAACAACCGTGGGACTCGGTAATCCAGGGCCATCACCGATGGGACTCGGTAATCCAGGGCCATCACACGTGGGACTCTGTAATCCAGGGCCATCACACGTGGGACTTGGTAATCCAGGCCATCAACAGTGGAACTCAGTAATCCAGGGCCATCACCCGTAAGACTCGGTAATCCAGGGCCATCACAGGTAGGACTCAGTGATCCAGGGCCATCACCCGTGGGACTCGGTAATCCAGGGCCATCACAGGTAGAACTCAGTAATTCAGGGCCAACACCCCTGGGACTCGGTAATCCAGGGCCATCACAGGTAGGTCTCAGTAATTCAGGGCCATTACCCGTGGGACTCGGTAATCCAGGGCCATCACCGGTGGGACTTGGTAATCCAGGGCCATCACCGGTTGAACACAGTGCTCCAGGGCCAACACCCGTGGAACTCGGTAATCCAGGGTCATCACCGGTGGGACTCAGTAATCCAGGGCCATCACCCGTGGGACTCGGTAATCCTAGGCGATCACCAGGTTTGGTCGCGTATTTGCGCCTGTAGTCGATTTTTGCCCTTCTTATCTTAGGCGTGTTCTTGGCTGACCTAAAATATGAAATACAATTTTATCACTAGTAATTAAAATTGATTTCAATATAATGTATATATTAATCGTGCGATGTCACCAGTATGTCGCAGCATTATGTCTGAACTGTTTACTAGCCTACGTGTCACATAGAGTAAGTGTGTGTGAATATTACACATTTTTTACTTCTGATGAAGTTACCATTGCACCTGCACACTATTGCACATGCACATGTACATCTGGTACATGGGCGTGTTCAAGCATTCAAACCGTGGACAAAAAAATGAACAAAAGAGAACATTATCCGTGATTCCCAGTATACATCTGATGTATATGCACATGCACACTATACATGCACACGTGCATGCACATACATGCACATGTACTAGCACCAGTGTTGTAGTCGAGTACTTTTTTCCGAGTACATACAAATGTACATGCACACCATACATGTGTACATGCACACTATACGTACACATGTACATGCACTAGCACACATACATGTATTTTGACTCACCTTATGCACATGTATGACCCTGTACATGCATGATGTACATTGTATGTAGGTACAACTGCAATGGTGAGTCCCTTAGAATAAAAAAATGCTTTATATTCAACCAATATTGATGAACAATAATAAATAATTTATAAATAGGCTACCTTAGGCCCCCAAAAAAGTCTCCGGTTTCTGGTATGGAGCTTTACCATGGTGAAATTGCTTTATATCTAAAAACCAATATTGATAAACAATAATAAATAATTTATAAATAGGCTACCTTACTACTCATGTGGCCTATCACGCAGGCATTGTCAGGCCGGCAATAAACGATTGAGAATATTTCTATTCCCCTTGGATGGGCTGCTAGTCCATCGCAGGTTACTCCCCAGCTGATGCCGGTAGTATTTATACTCCTGGGTGAAGAGAGGCAGGTGGGGGTAAAGTGGCTTGCCCAAGGACACAGCATATGGCCGTCAGCTAGATGCGAACCAGTCAGTCCGCAGCGCACTGAAAAGCCGTTCATTTTATGTGCGCTGTATGCATGGCATTCCGGTGCGTGACCTCGTTTTGAATACTTAATGAGCTGTCGACGACGCATGGAATGTGGTCCGAAATATCCATTTTATTAGTCAACTATCAATATCATGTATATTTTCTTTTAGATAGAGAACCATTCTGTTATATTATTAAATCAGATTGGAAATTACGTGAAATTTAGAGGGAGAAATTTGTAACGGAAAAAAACCTTCGAATCTCAACGAATTGGCCTTCAAAAAACGACGGTATTCTCCATCTTCTGACAGCGGCCACAGCTCAATTTCACACCAACGTCAGAGATAATGCTATATTTTATCCAAAAATTGTCGATTTCGCTTTGATCTTAAGCTAGTCTAGTCAGGGCGCAGAAAGTTATAACGATCTTCAAAACCCAGCAACGAAACATCCCGCCATGACAGTGCGTCGTTTTCCCGTGCCCTCATTGGCCCAAAATGACGTCATCACGAAAGATTTCATAATAACGTGTAGTTCATGTATCCATGTTACAACACGCATGTGGAATTTTGTGCAGGGACTTATGGTAGGTTTTGAACTATTTTGTTGTCGCTGTAGAACCCTTCGGAAATTATTCATCTGTTAAGTTAATGTGTCCAGAGCCAATGTAAGTTAACACTATTAGACTTTTTTTTCTTCAAAATTGTATCCCCTTTATCAAATAATAAAATCCAAAATATAAAAAATGTACATGTGACAAAGTTGAAGTTATTTTGGATATTTTTTTTCTGTTTTTATTGAAGACAATTTTCAAAACACAACTTATTCAAATCGTATAAACTTTGAATTTATGTTATGAACCGTTTTATATAAGAACTGTATATTTTCATATAAAATGCCTGTTGTATTTTTTTAATTCTAAATTTTAATTTTTAATTGGGCTGACTCATCTTTGATGACAGTTTCTACAAACGTTTGTCTTGACCAGGACAATTTACTTTTATTTTTTAAATAGATTTTTAATCATTGTCCAAAGATATTTATAATAAACTAAATAAAAATAAATAAACTTACATGTACATGTACTTGCAAGCATTAACATACTAGATCAGTTTTGTATAATATTGTTACACCATCACATCCTTGCTTTGAAACACTCATGGAAAACTCAGATAACTTCTTTTCATGACATCGCACATCACAAATTGCAAATACATGTGTTAATAATACCCATGTTTCCAGCCAGAATAAAAATCAGCTTGCATAAAGAAGGGAAAACATTTTTTTTTAAATGAGTTTTGGCATACGCGTCCATGTCTGACAACATCTGTCTTTGGATAAGAAATAAACGTCAACAAAAATCAATAGCAAAAATATCATCAACTCTCCTACAATCTAAAAACTGCTAAAATCTGGTAGTAACAGGTTCAATTTAAACAATTTACAGTGAAGTGAAGATGATAACAATAACCACAGTTCTGGCATAGTGTCACTAATCACGATTATGTACATGAAGCAATGTTTACATGTAGTAAATTTGAGATAATCTTTGGTTGCTGTCTTTGGCATGGTATCTGTGGCATGACTTTAAATAACCGTGTTTAACATGGCAACAACAAATGGTGATGATGTTGTTTACACAACGCAGTACATATAAAGGCCGGATCATACTCTGCGAATGCAAATTCAAATTGTTGACGTCACGGCACTGCAATTTCACAAAAGGTGAGCATGTTTCAATTCCGTCAAATTTGAAGCGAAGGTTTCATGATGTCAATGTCGCTTTCCATTCGCTACAAGTATATGAACCGACCTTTACACTGAAGTACAAAAATCATAAAATCTGCACACAGGAACTTTACTGCATGAATCTGAGTCTCAGAAAACATTCTTGTGTGAGAGATGATAAATTGTCAATGTCAACGACATAAAATGAGGACCATGCCAACCAAGGCACTGAAGTGAACGTGACGGTTCCCGTGTTGGAGGCGATGAAACTGTCAACGACAACTGAGGACCGAGGCATTGAACTGGCTGGAACAGGTTCCTGTATTGGTAGTGAAAGAAAAAATATGAGGATTGTAAATTTATCGAAAGGATTTTCTTCACGACTTTTCTTTGTATGACCAAAAGCAAATTAGTGTATAGCCTAAATGCACCGTATGTTGTATAGTTTTCCCAGGGAATTTTCCAAAATTAACTGAAGAAAAACCGTTTCGGTAGCATTAAGAAAAAAAACTTACATTATTTGTAAATTATTTAAAAACAACTATCTTCATGAAAAGCAGACATCCATACACATGATAGAAGTTGATAGAAATGGATTTTGGAGTAAATAGCTAGGAAGCTGAACAAAAATTTATGATCCCATCTTGTAATGAAATGAATGATGCACGATGATTCATACTGTACACGCTCCGCATGTACAAGCCGAAAGAAATGGTCGAAAAACTTCAAATCTCGCGCACGAAAAGTGTCGCAGAAAAAACTACAAACATGTCGCCACAAGCTAAAATACATATCAAACGAAAGCTTATTGCTTCCTTAATCAATGTGTGGTGATCATTTTCGTCATTTTTTTACCTAGTCCAGTCAGGGCGCAGGAACTACAAACACAACAAAAAATAATCCTCAAAATCACACCCCAACTTCGAGTGAACAAAATTCCGCCAAAAACTTACTGAATCTCGACATATTTTATATCATTCAATTCAGAAAAACGTTCGCTTTCGACTTACCACGCCATCTTGGAGACCCGCTACTTCATTTGCAACGTGTAGTTCATGAAAACAAAGCTGCTAAACTCTCGCAATAACACGTGTAAGTCTCGTGGCCGATACGTGACGTAGCCCGTGCACACAAAGTTCGGGATTTGACCTCATTATCGCGTGCGCTGCGCACTGACTGGCACCCCTGACTCCCTCATCATGAGTCACAAACCCTCACCACTCGCACCAGGCACAATAGACAAATAAAATAAGGCCATGACCGTAAATAAAATTTGGTAACAAATGCAATGCGTGCAATACACGCTACGACATTAATTGTCTGCAAAATAATTGACTTGAGAGAAAAAAACGTAATCTGGCATTATTTGACTGCTGTAGGTCAGTGTTCAATCGTGACCATGTGTGCAGTTTACTAACTTGAAGAAAACACACAGTACTAGTGCTGCTAGTGTTACAAAATTACAAGACAAGTTAACAATCATATCAAAAATGTCAAATACTTCCCAAAAAATAAGTGACAATTAATGTAGACCTTGTACTATTGGATTGCTGATTGGACACATGGGAGTTTACAATGACGAATACATGTACATGTACATGCAGTTATAGCATGAAGGGGTTTCCTTTCTCCGTGGTTATAGCAACCCCTGCTCAACTGATCTCAACCCAGCTCATTATATTTGTGAATATTCATGATCCCACTTTTTTTGCCTTTATTACTGAATTCTAATAAGTGATGACTACATAACTATGTTAACGCCGAGCACCATATCTTCAGCTTTAAAATAAAGTATGAAATGTCTCATTTGCTCTTTCAGTTCCGGACTACATCTTCCGGAACTTTTTTGATGCAAGCTTAATTATCATGAGATTTGGGCAAACAGTGTTCTCCGTGTATAAATCTTAAATTAAGTAAGCGACATTAAAATGTTAATAAAAAATGTTTGTAACAATTAAAAAAATACAAACACTGAATTACAACAAGCACTTGTTTTCATATACACATTAAGTCTAAAAAAAAAATGCAATAAACAGGAAAAAAATCGGCTTTTATATCAACAAAAACAAATGTAATGGGCAAAAAATACAAAAGTCATCGGGAAAAGAGTCATTATTTGTCCTTTTATTCCCCGGGTAAATATTTCATCTATGACGACAAAATCTTCACAATACCATTTGTTATATCTTGAAGTATTTGTTTTTTTAACAGTTTTGTCACAAGCAAAAGTACATAAGAAGTAGACTGCTTTTAGTTTTATGAATACTTCCGTTTCAGATGTCATGCGAAAAAAACAAACACAATGGCGAAGGTGAAACATTCGCGATGTAGCAAGGCCAAATGTCAAAATAAAACGTCTCCCAAAATGATGAAATATACGTTTCTACTTTGAAAATTACGTATTTTCACCTTCTAACAGACTGAAGTCAAATATAAAGAGCAAATTGTGTGTGGTACCTAACTCAAAATAGTGAATTTTCTAAATGACCTTACCAGGCGCGGTCCATGCGCCGTGTTATTTTTTTAGGCACTGCTGAGTTGACGGGTGCGAGATCTGACGGGTTTCAACGAGACTTTCATCTGGGGAGCCAGCTGTTGGCGATTCAGGGCGCGCGCGCGCCTCTTCTCTGCGTTATCACGTGCCCACGTTCAGCGTATTTTGTACATGAACTCGGAACAGTCGTTTGTCCTGGTGTAGAAGATCCGTGGTCTACAGAATTGTAAGTTCGATTGAAACTTGGTATGTATTTAAAGATCGAGATGTGTTATAGGTAAAAAATTGAGGTGACATCATTGGTTTTGTTTTGTT